GGACAACAGAGCTGCTTCATGGAAGAAGAACCTCAGCTTAGCCTGTTAGCTTTAGCGTTAGCCCCGATGCTATCACCATATATATGGATTAGCTCAGCGCTACACATTCTCCTCTCGTCACTGAGGTCCTCCATCCACATGACAGAGACAGGAACACAAAAATGACTCAGCTGCAACTGAAAATATGGATGGAGGACCTCAGTTTAGCTTGTTGCGCTAGCACCGAGCTAATATACATAAGGCAATATAGCAATGGTGCTAACGCTAAAGCTAACAGGCTAAGCTGGAGTTCTTCTTCCATGAAGCAGCTCTGTTGTCCTCCATCCATATTTTCAGTTGCAGGCTGAAAATTTTTAAAAAATTATAAAAACTAAACAGTATTTTTACAGTCTTTTTTCACAGTTAAAATATATGTTTATCAATTAAAGTCTAATGTTACAACTAATCCTGGATCCCTTTAAAATAAGCTGCTTTAAAGCCAGCATTGAGCATAAACTGCATCTCCCACTGGTTAGTTTTGCTGCGGCCCAGTTGTACTGGGAAGTGGGAATTTCCCACTTACAAGTTGTAAATGCAAACTATGATTACATCAATTACATCAACTTTATAAGCTTATTTTAATTTTAAACTGTTACATTATGAGCTTTAGTTCTGATAGGATCCACATTGAGGTAAATAAGATAAAATTTGTTTATTTGTGAAATGAGAGATGTTCTCTTGTTTCTCCTATAGATCCGTTACACACAGCTTTCTGATATTTTTATATACATTAGATAGCTTATTGTTAGCTTTTTCCCAATAAGTGCAGTAATGCTAAATCCAGACGCCTGTTCTGGTTAGCATCACACGGTCACGTGGTCGAGCCTCACTCCAGCTGTTCTACAGACCTCCATGGGTCCAGTTCTTAATACTGATTTATCTCAGCCTAACAGTGTTTGACTGTAAAAGTTTTCTGCAGAGGTGAATCATCAGGGGACCTATCAGCTGGCTAACAGTTGTAGCAGGAACATGTTGCATGTTATCTCATTCTCACTAATATCAACAGATGATAATCTGATCTCCTCCCGGTCTTCTTCGACCCCACTCACTGCAGCTGTTTACATAAGCTTTATTACTCATTGTTTAAATAATAACCTTCCTGTTCTGCAGGACTTACATAAAGCTGCAGCTGTGTTGTGGTGGGTCCTCGTGCCCTCAGGGACTCGCCTCGATCCTCCTCCCCCTCTGACTGCGCTCTGGGTCGGGTGTAGGTGAAAGTAGTCCCTCCTGCCTGGTAGTCCCCAGGAGGGTCCACGGCCCATCGTCCATTCACCACGGACACCCCCGTACCGCTCCTCATCGCTGAAGAAACGAAAGATTTAGGCTTTAAAACCTTGTTTTAGTCAGGGTGATTCTAAGAAACCTCCTTCTCAGACGGACAAACAACGTTTGGGAGGTTGGCAAGGCAAAACTCTCGCACATGCAAACATGTTACACACTTCACCGATTCCCTGTTGGGCTCCGAAAATACAAACTTTATGTTTTTAACTCTGCAAGACCACAAAATCTGCAGTCTTAGTTGGAGCAGGACACACACCAACGCTGGTCAAAGCTGCACTTCCCTCGCCAACATTTCACTTCTGCCAGAGCTGCAGCCACTATGGTCTGTGTCCTGTAGGGTTGGGCAATACTGGCAAAAAAAATTAATCACGATTAATTGTGGTATTTAGCCGATAACAATTAATTTGACGATTAATCCCCTGGACCCCCTGGATGCCTGCGTGTCCTGGTCACATGACCAATTTAGTGGGAAAGGTTTGCTCTTCGTAAAAATCTGTTCCAAATTGTGACAAAATTACCGACTTCAGGCTATACAATAAATTTAAATTGTGTTGATAGATAAATAAAATACAGAACTTTTTTTTTAAATGTTCGTCATTTTTGAAGCGGAGAGGAGCACCGAGCGGACTGACTGGAGGCATTAAAGTGTCAGTAGCTGCTTTTCCATTGACCATGAAAATGTGCAAATTAGAATTTCGAAAATAAATTTGCTCAATGGAAACACGTCAATTTTAAAAAAATTACGTTTTTCAACAAAATGTTTTTGCGCTAGGATGAGGTGGTTTTTCAGTCGTATCGAAATTGGGTTTTTTCGCAAAACTGCAAAAGAAACACTTTTTTCACATCACAGGAGTCACGTGATCAACAACCGTCTGTTTCTACTGGTGAAAAAGACGATGACGAGGAAGATAACAGGAAGTAGAAGTAGTAGTAAAATCACAGAAGTAGTATAAAATAGTAAACTGACCGACTACAATTTCCCAAAAACACAGCATACGTAGCCGCTCCCAAGTAGGGACTTGTCTCTGGAAAGCCTCGATAAAAGACGCCGACGTCTCCTCTGATGATGAGCGCTAGTGTCGTGGTAGCAACATGCTATGTGTTTACATCCATCGCCGCCATGTTTGTAATGACTTATCGCGAGAACAAACGTATTCACGTGACTTTAATAACATTTCTTACTTAATGGAAACACCGCAGTTGTGAAACTGTGCTTTTTTGACATTAACAGAATATCGACAAAGTTTTGCGGACATTTGCAATGGAAACGCAGCTTGTGACACGCATAGTCTTCAAATACAAAAAGTCAAAGAAAACATCTTTATATTTAAGAAAGTTGGAATAATATACACAATTTTTCCCATTTTGTCCCATAACTGTTATATTTTCTTTTGAATTTGGCTCAGCCAAAGTGAAACATGAAGTGACATCAAAGGGGAACTCTTTAACAAAGAAAACTCTCTGGTCTTTATTTAGTAAAACAATATTATTTGAACTCTGACTCTCTCTGATTGTGACTCAAAATGATCTAAAGAAACATCAGATTCTTCTCTACAGTCTGTGTTGTTAGCTGTTGTAGCAACGCTTTGTTTACATTCAGACATTCCCCTTTGACATCACTTCCTGTTTCTTTACAGGCAAATATCTCAACAACTGTTCATCTCAGCAAAGTGAAATTTATTTTGCAATATTTTATCAATGTCCTCTTTCTAAAAATGCATTCATATGTATTACAAAAATTTGACATCACTGACACTTTAATCGTATTAATCGTCAAGTGCCACAGAATAACCGACATTTCCGACATGATAAGATTATGCCCAACTCTAGTGTCCTGTTTGGTCATTTGTCTGTCATTTTAAAAACAGATATTGAAAAATGAAAAACAAATGACCAAAACATACACGGACCCACGAATCAGGTTTGTAAATCTTTTTATTTTTTCATCTGTTACATCTCACCCAGGTAGTTGGGGCTGGCTCGTCTCTCTGTGATGTTAATAAACGTGGCTCCGGCTGGGACGTCCAGGATCTTGTGGTACCCGAGGGGAACCGTGACGTTCTGGAAGCTTCCCGTCACTTTTCGACAGGAGGAGTCCCGCCCACCGCACACGCCGCACTTGTCAATCAGAGCGCCGGAGCCCAGCACCCCGTCGCAACCCTCGGTCTGGAGAGAGAAACACGGTGGGAAGATGTGAGTGAAAGTTTAAAGAAAGAGGAGGGAAAAAAAAGCGGGACGTTTCGGGGGTGACGTGGCAGGAGCGGCAGGGACAGGCTAACCCAGTTTCGGTGACGTTTCACGTCCAATATTGGCGTTTATCTCCTTCTTTCATGTGCAAATTGGTAACTGGTGCTCACAAGAGTCCTGCCAGGAGCCGAGGGGTGGAATGAGGGTGAAATCAGGGAGTGAGAGTGAAGATACAGAAAAAAAGAGGCCCAGAGGGGCGACTGAGTGAATCTGCGTGGCGGTTTTAAATCAGCCTCCAGATGTGAGACGAACAGAGCCAGAGCTTTAGTTTATATCAGGCCCAGCTAGACAGAACGGTCTCAAATTCAGACGTGTTAAAAAAGAAAACTTTGATTTGAATTCACTCACCAGACACCGTCCCTCCACACACACATCGTTGGAGCTGGCGTTGAAGCAGGGCGTCCCGTCTCTGGCGCGCTCGGCCTGACGGACGTAGAATCGATAGCCGGCGGGTCTGCAGGTCAGCTCGCACTGCTTCTCTGGACCAACTGCAACACAGGAGCGGGGATTAAAACCACACACTTTTTATTCTCTTTACAAAGAGAGTGGAAGACCCAGCGGGGTGATGATGAACGCCTTTCCATGTGCTCAGGAAACCGACACATAACCTTCAGACAGTCAGACAGCGACCGAACACTTCCCCCGCTGATCGCTGAGCTCACTGCTGCTCTTTCTCAAGACATACATAATCACAACTGAAGCTGGGATTTATGAGTGCAACCCAACTGGTTAACGCAGCAGGGAGGGATGTGTGTGTGACGGGAGAACAGAAGAGAGCGCCGCTTCAAGGTTCGAAGGGAAATGAAAGTTCTTCAGCGCCGAGAGAGCAGGTTGGCAAACAGACGAGCTGTGAAAACCAAGACCCTCACAGGAGAGAGGGGGGTTCAACGTGGAGACAATGCAAGCAGTTATTTAAGTGTTTCAGGAAAAACACCAAGGCTATTTGAGAGTGAAATGATTAAGAGTTACACACAATATTTGTGTACACTTACAGCAGTAGAATAAGTTAATTAATCCAGTCAGTCCAAAAATATTAGGCTGCCTTGAGGCCCGGGCCTCTCTTGTCTCGTTCAATAAAAGTGTAGTGGTCACTTAGGGTGGAATACGTGTTCCACCTGGCTTTGACCCTGACCTCAGAAGACCTCCTTTAAAGAGACAGAACTCTGTTCGAGTTTAAAATCATAACATGTTTTCTTAAACAGTAAAAAGACATTTTATTTTATTTTATCAAGATAATAAACAAAATAATAATGTTCTTTATATGTTTGATTATATTTTTTCTTAACTAAAAGTTATCTCTTAACTAAAAGTTATCATTTTATAAATCAGTTACATACTTAAATGAATGACAAGCTATTTTCTTTCATTACAACTCAGAAAAGAAAAAACACA